CAGTGTTTGAGGGAAGAGACCTGTCCTCAATGGGAACACACTGGGAACACTTGGGGAAATAAAGTGTCAGAGGGACACAAACCCAAAACAGTTCCCAGAGTGGTCTCCTTGAGCCACCTCTGCAATCAGTGATTTCTCCCTCTACACAGCTTGGCAACTCCTGTCTAAAGTTATTCAACACCTGTTAGAGGGTTCTGCAAGAATAGTCAATGTTCACTACATCCACATCTGAAACCAAAATGAACTTACAATCTTTGGAGCTGAAGGACCAACGGATTTCTAGTTTATGCAACGTAACAGCTTTTAAAAGAGAAAGCCAAACTGGAAAATCAATGCATTTGTCACCCTGGAGAGGATCTCAAGGATTTACTTACTTGCTGAGGTCCACACAGCACTTTGCAAGCAGGTATTTACACTGTGGGGTGGTACAGTTGTGTCCCTTTAGGAGCCTGTATGCTTTGTAGGCCTTTCCTGAGCGGTAGTAGCACGTTGCCAGTAAGAACAGAGCTTCTTCTGAGTGCACTGAAAGAGAAACCACCAAACATCAGAGCTGCTTCTTCCCCCTTTTGCTCCAAGGAACTGAGGGCAGGGAGTTAAAGTCACCTAGGGATGAGAGGGTAGAAAAATGTAATACTAGAATGCTTCACCTGCACTTAGTGGAGCAGATTTGCTGATTTTAATGATTATTAGTCTCTGAATTACCAGTCACCTCTGCCCCAACGTTGAGTCTGGTCCTTTTTGCTCCCTGTACTCACTAATGGATTGGGAATGTGGCTTAACATCACCATTCTGGTGTTTTATTTATTTCATGTTGGGAACTAGCAATAGGGACAAGTTCTCCTACAGCCTGGATGGGGCTTGGAGCACCCTGGGCTGGTGGAAGGTGTCCCTGACCATGGGAGGGGGTGGGACTGGATGATTTTAAGGTCCTTCCAATCCAAACCATCCTGTGATTCTGTGCTTTTATAAATCCTCTTCCCAAACTGAAGCCTCACCAGCTTCTAAATTCTGGATGAAGTAGCAAAGCATCAGGAAAAATCATCTCTAAACAGAACAGGGATCAAGACAAACGTTTCTCTATGACAGAAACTGGAAGGATTGAATTTGCTGTCTGCTTTCACACCTCTTCCACTGCAGGGATGATACCACACTGAGGATGTTGTGCTCAGGACTTGCTTTGGCACCCAGGTCTGACACTGAGGTCAGACTGACTTCACCTGTGATTACAGCACAAAGGACAGAACTCACCCCTGAAGTTAGTTAAAACCTGCAGAGTCAGATTTTGCTTTTTGCCATGGTGGCTTACCCAGTTCCTGCACTTCCCCAGGAGTTACCTCACCCTCACACAATGCTGTGTTTTAAACCAAAGGCTGTCTGAAGGGAAGCAAATGCACACTCCAAACAAGGAAGAAACCCACCTGGCATTCCATTTTTCAGAACACACTATCCTGCAAGTGGAATTCAGTATTAAAAGGAACCATTTTGATGTTTGTTCACCTCCCTACAGGGAACTCTTCCCAAAAATCAATACGAGCATTTCACAAAAACCTCTTTGGGAAATCTGCCCAAATCCTTTGCTAGACTGAAAATTGAGTATTTTAAAAGTTTGTGTCATCACCTAGGCAGTGACAATGGAAACTGAAAACCCAAACAGAGACGTTTTATTAGACTTATCCTAAAGACATCAGAGAAAATTCAAGTTAAATCCATTTTTATCCACCAATTTAACACTCTAGAGTTCTGGGAAAAAAAACGATCGAGCCACAGATGTGCCTGCAAGGACAGTAATTGCAGGTAGACTTAAAAGAAGTTCTTCTCAGGGTGAGATCACTCCTGCCAACATGGAGCCACTCTATTCAAGTTCTGCAGCTTCTACTCTGCTGTGTAACTACCTATTTGAGGCAGGAACCAGATGTTTTGTTGGCAGCTAATTGCTGGAGCCAAGTGCTGGTGTGCACTCTGCTTCCTCCCAGCACTGCTGGTCACTGAACAAAGCTGCTTCAAGTGCTCGTGCAGAGAACTGGTCTGTAAAGATGTGGCACTATCAAGTCAGGTATTTTTCTTTTGGCTGCTGCAAAAAAAGTGGATTTTGTTCATTCCTACACCCTCTGTAATTACCTTGCCCTGCACAGTGTGCTGTGCTCAGGGGAGCTCTGTCACCCCTAAAACACTATGCCCTTGGGTAGGAGGTTCCAGAATATTCTACACCACACTTCTCATCTAAGCACCAGTTCAAAAACCTCAGATTTCATTCATTGACATGAGGAAGGAAAGTCCTTACTTCTCCAAAATCAGGCAGGCAAAACATTTCACTCCAAAACAGAGCATGAAATAGGTTGTACAGTTTAATTCACACTAGAAGCTCAAGTTGTTTAGCATGAGGAATTATATGAAGTTATTTTAGCTTAAGGGTTGGGGTTTTCTTTTTTTCTTATTAGTGATTAGGGGACAATACCCTTCAAAACAGAGAAAACTTGACCCCCAGGATCGAGGAGAAAGAAGCATAGAACAAAAAAATTTATCTGAGGCATTGGAAGAAAATAAATTAGGAGACAACAAAAGCAGCCAGGAAGAACACAGATTTGGGTAACTGCTGCCTGCTCAGTGTCCAAGACATCCCAGACCTGACAGTGTTACAACTGACAGGAATTCAACAGGAGATACTTGTTCCATACGTTCTGCTTCTGTCTCAGTTTTCTCTCTCCATCACAAGACTCATCTAACACACCAATCAATGTATGTGAACAGCACTGCTAGCAAAGAGAATTCCCAATGTCAAGCCAACCTGTAGAATTTGTGTGCTGCACCTCCCCTCAGGTGCCCTTGGAAGACAAGCACTGCTTAAGGCTATTAAAAAACCCAACTCTATCCCATCTGAGACCATAACCAGATCACTGTAAACATTTTACAACTCCAAGCTTTAAGGAGGTTTCACCGTAAAACAACATTGCTGCTGGTCCATGATTTGATTTTCCAACCTAATTGTGTGGCATTCTTCTGCTTTCCCCAAGCAGAAAGTCACAACTTTATTACCAGAACAGGGACAAAACAGAGCAGGGGGCAGAGGCTCTAAAATCCTCAGTTAAAATGAACAAAAACATCAACTTTCTGAGTGCAAAGTACATACCTTCTGCATATAGCCTTTCAGCGAGGAACACCGCGTCGCGGTAGGCGTAGTGGTTAAGTGCTTGCCATATAGCAGCCTGCAAGGCAACAAAACAGCCTGGATTTAGAGAGGAGCCTCTGAAAGGCAAAACTTGTCAGCTCTCCCTGTCAAAAGGCAAAGTTCAGTTTGGTTTTATGGCGTCATAAAAAGAAAGAGGAAGGATTAAACGCAAAGGACGAGTTTTGGTTGTTTCGCCTGTTAGTAAGGAGATGAAGGATGAGCTTTGGTTGTTTCGCCTGTTAGTAAGGAGGTTTAAAGAGAAAAACACACCAAGGTCATGAACTGATCTAAGAATTCTCAAAATCATCCAAAAGATTTAGAAATGAGTTTTAACCTGGTGCATAACTCAGGGTGAATCACTGCAAAGCACCACCAACACCAAACGAAGGAAAAGTAGAAACAAAACTCACTCTAAAGCACCACCAACAACAAATGAAGGAAAAGTAGAAACAAAACTCACTCCTCCCCAGCTGAGTATTCCATTTAATCCACCTCCCAGAGACATGTTAAACACAACAGGCCTAAAAATCTCCACGTAATGGTCAATCTAAGACTTAAGGGTGTTAGGATAAAGGATTTCCCTTAGGGACTAAGATGAACATGATCCATTGCTTTTTGCCACAGAGTTCTGTTTGGATCTTGGCTCATCAGTCACCTCTTCACTGCCACTAATTAGGCTTGTGAGGTAGCACCCAAGAATGAAGGCAATGCAAATTAGATGGACAAATTGATATATAAAGCCATACAGGAACACAACCTACTCTGTATTTTGCTCGTAGACCCACATGAGCTCCTCTGCCATGAACCCCAAAAGTCTGAGTTTTTTTGCAGAGTGAAAGATGGCACTGCCCCAGGGAAACACAAATGTACACACCAGCAAAGCAGGTGTCATAATTACCTGCACTGCTGTCACCACAGCTGAACTACCAGCAAGAACTGTGCAGCTGAAGGATAGGGCTGGGGGTACACAGGCTGCACACAAACCTCTCAGAGCTGGGGCAGTTACAGCCTGGAGAGGAGAAAGTTGTGTGGAGACCTCAGACCTGAAAGGGCTCCAGGGAAGCTGGAAAGGGAACTGGAGTGATAGGACAAGGGGGAATGGGTATAAAAGGGGAAAAATGTGGGGGAATTTAGATATCAGGAAGAAGTTTTCCCTGTGAGGGTGGTGGGACACTGGCACAGGTTGCCCAGGGAGGCTGTGGTTGCCCTGACCCTGGCAGTGTTCCATTCCAGGTTGGATAAATCCTTGAGCAACCTGCTCTGGTGGGAGGTGTCCCTGCCCAGGGATGGGGTTGGGACTAGATGATCTATAAACTCCATTCCAACCCCTTAACATTCCATGATTTGATCTTGCTCCAGTTCTGAAGCCATTTCCTATCAGCAGCAAAGAGCCATTTTGCAGTAGTTTTGTTATTCCTGATTCCAAACAAGATCTGAACTTATGAACTCAAGGCACTGTGCTCTAGGATTTCTCTAATATTCATCAGCAACCAAAGACAAACAGAACTCACTCCTGAAACCCATCAGACACTCCAAAATGGAAAGCAAAAATATCTTCCAGAGCAAAACACCACCCTGCCATGCTATTCCCAGCAGGAAAGGCAAGCGCCAACTTCAGCTAAAAAAAAATATCCAGACATCACAGAGTTACATGTACCATATGCTGCTACTTCCAACACAAACTTGACAAACACAGGGTGTGAAAAATGTGCAAGTTCTCTTCACGGGAAGCCTACACAGCCCTCATGAGCAGCACACAGCAGGGCTCCAATCACCACCCAGAGGATCACAGCAAATCTCTACACAGACTTCTCTCCTCTCAGCAGGTCCCAGGAACATGTTTAAAAAGTCAACAGGTGCTTTTAAGCTTGTGTGAAAGTATTTAAAAGTGAATTCTCTTCGTTGGAGCATTATAATATAAACACCTACTTATTTCTCTCTGGTGTAGTCCACACTTGAGATAAGCAGAGCCACAGAGCCTGAAGTGATTACTCCCTGTTACCTTGAAATTGCTCACAGGTTGTTCATGTTTCTGCACAAAGCCTGAGCTAGAAGGTTAGTGTTGAAACCTTTCAGACTACACCCAAGCAGAGCAGCCCAGGACTCCTTTTTCCCCTGCTCCTAGAAGCAGCTTTTCCTTTCCCAAGTCACACCGAGATGAATTCAGGCTAAAAACAAACCCTTGGCAGGGCTGGAACTCGGTGAGCTTACAAAACAAAGGTGTGGGGGTGGGAGTGGTGAAATCAGGGTCATTTGACTTCTCAAACAAGAGCAAGTTGCCAGGAGCAATCTTGCCAAAGGCTAAGAGGGGACACAAGGGATTTGGGGCTGTGTCACAGCCACATTATAAAGTTACACTACACACCAGCTCAGATAACAATCGTTGCTGAGCAGATCCTGGTGAAAACAAGAAGTAGGCCTGAAGGATCCCTGTCGTGTAGCAACTGGCATCTTGCAGCCCAAAAGGTGCCTCATGCCCTCAAGACACCATTGCCAAAATCTGGATCCTAAAGAAAGGAGCAGGAAGAGCAAAGGAAGGCAGCAGGGAATCAAACACACCTCTGCAGTGACAATTTTCCATGAGAACAGATGTCTAAACATGACTGTGCCTCAAAGAACCAAAAGAGATGGTTTCTTGTGCACCTTTTAGGAGAGAAACATTCATCTCTTTACAGCAGAGTGATTTAGGTTGTGATTTAGTGCATCCACACAGCACCAGTGGTACACAACATCTGCTAAACCTCACCAGGAGTGTGTCCTCAGGGCTGCACCACAGACACGAAGGAAGAGTTTCCCAGCTCTATTCGAGTGTCCCTGCAGAGCAGATAAACCTCCAGGTCCTAATCACTCATTTTACATATACATTGTAACTCACAAATGCAGAGTGATCAGGGAATTCCAAAACCACCACCCCCAGCCACAGCAAAGCATCCTCAGAGAGGAGAGCAAGGAAATGGAATCAGATTCACACAGGTCCATCTTCCATCGACAAAATCCTGTGCATTGTCCAACTGCCACTTCAGCTCTCAGAGAGACATTCACTTCTGACAGTTATACAGCCCTGGAAACGATTTCCAAAGCTTTCCAGCCTGTTTTGCCATGCTAAGCAGATTCTACTGTGATTTAAGACATCCTCAGGGTGGGCAGAGGGAGGAGAGCTCTGCAATGAGCTGTGCTGCATTTCCCAGTTCCACTCTCTGCCCACTGAACACACAGACACTGGTACAGCAAATTTCCAGCCAAGTCCGAGCACCATTCAAGTGAGTCACAGCAGATGATCACCTTGAACAGCTCAATTCCAAGCAAAGTGCTCATTTTGTTTCCAAGATGTGTTTTTTTTTTCCAGACGTATTTGGAAGGCATCCAGCCTGTTCCTCAGCACATGGGATACGAGGTTTTATGTCTGAGCTGAAGGGTTTTAAAAGTCAACCACATCAGGAAGGACATATAGGGCTAGTGACTGTGTAAACTTTGGCATTTTGTCCATCTGAAAGAACTAAAAGTTATTAAAAACCTAACCAGTGACCAGGATGTCTTCAGGGACGTTAATGTCATGTAATTAAAGCACAGCATTTATAAGGCTACACACAAACACAGATCCTGTGTTTCTCTCTCCTGCTGTGCACATCACAGCTGTGAGGATGACAGTTTTTTCCCTGGAATGCTGAGCCCTGGAGACATCTGAAAGGCTGGGACAGAACACACAAATAGACAGGAAAAAAATCTCTGCAATGACAAAAATGGGTAATGTCAACTTTCCTAAGGATATGGTGAAAAAGAGCAGGAAAACTGAGCTAAGTGCAACTGAGCAAACTCCAATCCCACTCTGGTTGGGGCACCAGGTCCTTCCTCACCATTAAAGCAACAACATGACCAAGGCCACAACAAATAATGCCTGAACTCACCAGCAGTGCTGTAAGCAAGGAAAAACAGCAGAGCTGAGAGCAGCAGCACCACTGCTAAGGGAATGCTGAGACTCTAAACACAGATCTTCAAGGTAACAAAGCCTCTGAGCTGGTTGAGGATGGAGAATGGCATCAGAGAGGCCTTTCCTTGCTGAGACAGAACAACCAGACCCCACACTCCTATCCGAGAGCTCTGAAGAGAGCAGGTATTTCTCACTTGGTTAGTCTTAATTATCACAGTAGCAGAAACAGTCAACATTGTTTCCTGCAGTTCCCTCTGCACTGCAATTCTGGCTTCCTTTGCCATCGTAATGCCATGTTTTCCTAGAACACCCAAGTGGTGCAAAAACAACCAGCCCAGCTCCAAGGGCAACAAGAGAGAGCAAGAGGGACCAGGTGGCCTAAAGCATTTCTAGCTCTGCACTCTGCTCTCAGTAGCACCCAGGACACAACTCCTGGTCTACCTGAGTGCCACCCCCTTGCACAGGTCATCAGGGTGGTTTTCCACAAGCCTCTCTTCTCTTTCCACCTTTTCCTTCAAAGCCAAAGAGCCAAGAACAACCATCTTCACTGTGTTACCTACAAGATACAATTGTGTCCTACCATGACACTCTTGCCAGGAAACTCTTGCTGTAACCAGGGAAAAGAAGCCCAAAATGCCCTGTTAAAAGGCTGAAAAGGAGTAAAAAAGGCTGAAAAGGAGTAAGGATGATTGAGTAATGGTTAGTGAACAGCTGGAGTAAGAGCCACAGAGCAAAGGTGGAAAAAGCTCCATTCTGCGATCCACACCTCCAGGACGGGAAGCAGCAGAGGAGCAGGAAGCAGATCGGGGTGAGCCTGGAGCATGGCAGGAAAACAACATCCACGTTATTTCCACCCTCCTTCTAGACCTCCCATCGACGCCAAGGGAACAACGTCCTCCCTTCCCGCCTCGCGAA